AGGATCTGAAGGCAGCCCTGTTTAGGGAGGTTTTTAATGTTTTACCACTTTATTATTATCATTCTGTTGGGAGCTGCCCAGAGTGGCTGGGGAAACCCAGCCAGATGGGCGGGGTATAAATAATAATTATTATTATTATTATTATTATTATTATTATTATTATTATTATTACTACTATTACTATTGTACAGCGGTACCTCTGGTTACGTACTTAATTCATTCCGGAGGTCCATTCTTAACCTGAAACTGTTCTTAACCTGAAGCACCACTTTAGCTAATGGGGCTTTCCGCTGCCACCGTGCCACTGCCACACGATTTCTGTTCTCATCCTGAAGCAAAGTTCTTAACCCGAGGTACTATTTCCGGGTTAGCGGAGTCTGTAACCTGAAGCGTATGTAACCCGAGGTACCACTGTACTTGGATGTGGTTTCTACTATCACACTTAGCATTTTGTAAAGGTTATTAGATTGTGAACCTGTGGGTAACAGGTTTAGCTGTTGTTTTTTAACTTCTATATAGCTTTTTGTTTTTTTAAGTTCCGTATTATTTACTTTATCCTTTTCTTACATTTCTGTGCTGCCTTCCATCCATCATGGAACCCGAGACATCCCATATTTGGTAGAAATAATAGAGTTTTTAAAATATTATTATTAGTGTTAGTATTGATTGCCATGCATGGGACGCAGGTGGCGTTGTGGGTTAAAGCCTCAGTGCCTAGGACTTGCCGATTGAAAGGTCGCGGTTCGAATCCCCGCGGCGGGGTGCGCTCCCGTCGTTCGGTCCCAGCGCCTGCCAACCTAGCAGTTCGAAAGCACCTCCGGGTACAAGTAGATAAATAGGGACCGCTTACTAGCGGGAAGGTAAACGGCGTTCCATGTGCTGCGCTGGCTCGCCAGATGCAGCTTTGTCACGCTGGCCACGTGACCCGGAAGTGTCTGTGGACAGCGCTGGCCCCCGGCCTCTTGAGTGAGATGGGCGCACAACCCCAGAGTCTGGCAAGACTGGCCCGTACCGGCAGGGGTACCTTTACCTTTACTATTGATTGCCATCCTCCAATGAATCGCAGAAGCTGTCAGACTTAGCAATTTAGGTCCCCTGGAAGCAAAAGCTGCGCTGAAAGGCGAGCTTGGGACAGGATCCATTGGGGGGGCCAGGGGCAAACAGAGTGCCCTTCACTCTGGCATTTGCTCTCCGCCAACCTGGTGTGACGTGGGCTGTGCCAGCTTTCTCATCTGCCCACTTGGCTTCCCCTCCCCACCGACTTGTTCAAGGGATTTGTTGGAATTAATCATCTTGGTTTGCAACCCTGGCGCCAAGCCAGCATCGCCGAGGCTGTCGCCATGGAGACAGCTCGGCTTGGGCTTGATTGCATTTAAGTCTGCGTTGTGTTTGTGAGGGAAAATGCAGCGTGCCAGCTTCCCTCCGCCCTGGCACGGTGTGGAGCCAGTACCGAGGCATGATTCACGAGGCAGACGGCGCAGGAGAGACCCGTCACTTGTCCCCAACCCTGAAGGGATGTGTCACTGTGTGCGCACACCCCGGCCTGCTTTAGGGTCCTTTTCCATGTGCGCCTTTGTGGGCGGGGTGGGGTGGGGAGACAGAATCAACTCTCATCTTCATTTGCGGTCAGGTTTTTGTCCGTGCCGCCTCCCTCCGTATCTGCGAATCTCTCTCTCTTTTTCTGTAGAGCTCCCTTTGATATTGGGGAGCTGCAAGGCCTTTCTGCATTAAGAGATGCGCAGAACACCAGCTTCCTTTTGAAATAAGAGGCAGGTCTTCGCCAAGGCTACAGAAGCGGGAGATTCTGCTGAAGGGCGCTGGGAAATAAGGCAGAGGAGCGACAGGTCACTCGCACTTAACCTAGCTCCTGTTCTTCGCTGCAGCTACTCAAGTCTCTGCCTCTGAGGCCTTTATGACCCCAAAATTATATTTCAACAAAGCTGGGGACTGATAGAAAGGATAACCCAAACTCCTCCCGAGCCGTAACCATACTGTGGGCTGTGCGCAGATGATAGCTTAGTAGAATATTGTGGGGAGAATGAAAGACAATAGATGATTGATGGCTTGATTGACTGATTAGATGGATAAACCTGATAGGTTTATTATGTTCAGGGAATCATAAAATTGAGTGAAATATACTTGGAGTCGAGAGTGGATTTCATGCTCTTTATTCCGCTCATAGTGGTGAGGAAGAATGAACAATTCCCCCAAAATATCTGCTTTATATACATTATTTACACAATGGGCTGCGCGTGATTGGCTAATTCCGGGATTCTCCTGTAGGCCAATCAGGTTGTGGATTCACTTCCACCTGGAGCTGGATTGTGTGGCTCCTGCGGACCAATCAGACTGCTGCATTGTTCTAGGACCAATCAGACTGCTGCGTTCTGAATCCTATTGTTCTAGGACCAATCAGACTGCTGCATTCTGGATCCTATTGTTCTAGGACCAATCCGACTGCTGCATTTGAGATCCTATTTTGTAGAGTTGGAAGGGACCCCGAGGGTCTTCTAGTCCAGGCACTAGGGACATTCTGCACCTGGCGATCAGCCACCTGCAACCAAGTGAAGATGTCTGGGCACCAGGATGGCGCCTGATGTCTCCACCATCTGGATGTGCATGTCTGGGGATCCTTGGAGCTTGACTGCTTTCACTCACAAGCAACACATCCTGTCTGTTATATTTTACCTGCACAATCAGGATGAATTTCAGGAACCAAAAAGGCGTCTTGAAAATACAACGGCTTTCAAGCTATCTCAGCTCCAGCCAACTAGGCATTTTGTTTTGGCATCTGTAACCTGGTTTAAGGAGCTGTTTGGTGACTAGCTTATATATCCGAGTTCCTAACATGGATCTAGATCAACTCCCTGCAATGCAGGAATTCTGTTCTGCGCTCTCTCTCTCTCTCTCTCTCTTATATTTGGCTAACATTGTCTACAGTATAGGCATTGCTTTTTCTTCGCTGTGCTCTTTCAGCTCAGCTTCCGCAATGAACAACACATTCCCCACCCACAAAGCTCGTCCCACCCCACTCCTCCGTGGTCAGATTAGTTTTGTGCATTTTTTCCCTACTTCTGTAGTGGGTGGGTGGGTTGTGTTTTAAGTAATGTACAGGACGTTTGCATGCTTACAACTAATCATTTTAGTTCTTTAAAAATAAAACAACACCCCCCCTCCCTTGACTCACATGATGAGTAATATACATGCAAAGTTTGGATCAGTTTTTAAAGTTTTTTTCTTGATTTTTAAGGTTAAGTCAAAAGTGTCTGCATACGCACTCATCTTGAAAGCAGCAAAAGGCTGCCTCTTTCTAGATAATCATCTTCTGCAATTTCTTAACTTTTAAAATCCATTTTGTGTGTGTGTGTGTGTGTGTGTGTGTGTGTGTGTTTTCCCCTTTCAAGCCAGAATTAGGTTTTTTTACTTTTTTTGGCCGGCTAAACCAAGGGATGGTAACCGATGAGTCTCAAACCCTCAGTGAGTTAGGGACTACACCTGCATGCAAAGACAGGCTCTGGCAGATTAAATGGACAAGACCAATAGTGGGTCCAACAGTCAAGAAGCCTGATCTTTTGTTCCCCTTCCTTCCCTCCCCTTCCCCTTTTTGTGAAGATTGCCCGCTCTGGGATCCCACAGCTGGTTCTCCCCTGGTCTCCTGGCTGGCCCAAGTAGGGCTAATTTAGCCAACTAGCCCTGGTGATCACCCAATGTTTATTGGATGGATTTCCCCCCTAAATTGACTTTTGATTCTTGATTCTTGATTTTATTGTTATTTACACTTTATACTGTATTTTATGCTTTTTTTGTAGTATCAATTAAGTGTAGTATCAATTAAGAAAGGGTCATACAGTGAATAGATTTGGTTCCTTTTGACCCTACAGCAGGCATGGCCAAACTTGGCCCTCCAGCTATTTATATATATATCATTTTTATTGGTTTTGCACACATTTTCCAAACATAACGACCCATCTTATACAATATAACAAACTTTGGCTATCACAGCCTAGGACTTCCGTCAACCTTGACTAATGGTTTTCTAACTTTCTTTCTGATTTTGCATTTTAATTTAATAGTTATTGCTATAAAATCCAAAGCTTAAATAAACTCCTCCTTAGTCCTTTTTCGCAATAATTCATATAATTCAAAACTTCTTGCAACCCTGCAAGCGATGTCAATTGATTGATTGATTATTATTATTATTATTAAGAAGGTGGTTTCTGCGTCTGCTGTAGAGGGAAGTGGGAGGTAGGTGGGGCTCATCTACCTGGGAAAGTAGCCCATCTAGAAGAAGGAAATAATTGATGTTAAACCTCTGCTGCCTTGTGGGTTATCTTTGGGAGAAGACTAAGGAGTAAGCCCTACACAGATCCAGAGTAGAATACCTAAGACGGTTGGATGGCGCCTTGTACGCCTCCTTCCAGCAACTCCTGCAGCCAGGCTGGTGCCAGACGTATTGCTCTGCTTTCCTTTGGACATCATTGAGGCCGAGAAGGGGGTCCTGTCAACTGGGCAGCCCAAGACCTCCAGACACACTGCTCAGGCTTGCACCCCAGGGAGGTTGCTTCGATGCTGCTAATGCAGTGGTTTAACTTCACCCCCAGATGTGCACTCCATTGTTTCTGGAGACAGACAGATGCCAACAATGAGTCTTGTCAGTTTCATATCGCCGCTGGCGTGTATGGGTGGGGGAGACCTGTGGCCTCCCATGGGCTGATGGGTTGCCATCAGCCACAGGCAGCAAGGCCAGTTGGTGGAGACGATGGGAGCTGCGGTCTAGCAGCAACTGCGAGGGCCACTGGTTCCTCACCCCCAGGCTAGAAGAAGCAACTGCAGCCAGGACCTAGGAAAAGGGCTTTGTCTTCCTGCAGCAGGGCTTTCCTCCTCCTCGTCCACTTGAAAATGGTCAGGGCACAATGACTGGACCGTAGGCAGGGTGAGCTATTGGTGGGACCGGTCTGGGGCCTGAGCTGACTTTAAAACGCTGCTTGTTTGCCGTGCAGAGACGAAGAGGAACTGCGCAAGTCGCTTTCCGAACTGGCAGACCCCAACCCCAAGTCCATCAAGCGCATCAGCAGCTGCAGCAACCCTTTCCTGGATTTCTCGCAGGATCCCAGCATTGCTACATACAAGCACAGCCTCCTCGTGCGCAAGAGCCACGCCGAGCCGGATTGCAAAAAGAGTAAGTCTGATATTGGTGGTGTTGTGCTGGGCGATGGGGGGGGGCTCCCTCTTGGCAATGGCACGGGCTGCACTTGACTGCACATGAGGAAGAGAGCAAGGAGGTGCTGGTCTGCGCTGAGCATCGCTTCCTTTTAGCCCCCCACAGGCAGGAGGAAAATTTTAAAATGGCATCGCCTTTGAAGGCAGGATCCTTGCCCTGTCTTTGGCCCAGGAAACACACCTTGCAAATATTTCAGCTTTGCCAAGGAGTGTGTAAGCAAAAAATTATTATTATTTAGGGAAGTTTTTAATGTTTGATGTTTTACCGTGTTTTTAATATTCTGTTGGGAGCCACCCAGAGTGGCTGGGAAACCCAGCCAGATGGGCAGGGTATAAATAATATGATGTTGTTGTTGTTGTATAAATAATATGATGTTGTTGTTGTTGTTGTTGTTGTTGTATAAAAGCTTATGCAGAAAGACATCCTCCCCAGTAATTTATTATTTTTTAAAAAACAACCCAGAGGGGCTAGTATGTGATCCGCCACTGATGTTCGCACATGTCCAGAATTGTGTGGTGAAATGTCTATGGCAGCCAGGTCTGCTGCACCTGGAAAAAAAGGATGTTGGTCACCAGAGTCTTTGTCCGTGTCCCACATGAGGAAAGACCCGCCCCCCCCCTTTTATGTTCATGGAAACTCCCTGTATGACTAACTCCTCTGCCCTTACCCACACAGCATATTGTTTGGATTATCTTTCTTGAGGTGCACCTATTGGGCACCTATTTAAAATCAACCCCCCTCTCTTATTTCAAAACAATTCAAAGGGAGTTGCAATTTTTTTGCCAGAAACAAAAGCCCACCAATTTTTCTGACCGATTCAGATTCTATGGGAGTTCGTTTTAACCAGCAATTGCTGTCGCAAAGAGGCTCCATTCACAAATTCCAGCCAGTCCTTCCCTGTTCCTTAAAGTGTTTCGTATAAGCTCTGCAAAGTTACTCTTCCCCTCGTGCAATCTTGTGGCATCTCTGCCATTTCTAAAGGGTCTAGGATGGGTTTCTGTACTGTGTTGATGGCGCCACATACAGGCTGCGTCTTAATATCTTCCGCTTCAGCAGTAGAAACCTGGTGAGGAACAGGTTGCAGTTCAAAAACAACACAAAAAGCAGTGATGGTATGATTTAGAACAGGGGGCGGCAAGATTTACTGGCCATGGGCCGGATCACTCCCACGGAGATTTTCCGTGGCCCGGACTGGCACAGTGTAACGCCAGAAATCGTGTCTGTGCATGCCCAGACGCTGAAAATCGCACCTGCGCAGAAGCAATTTTCAGCGTCTGGACATTCGTAGACATGATTTCCAGTATCTGCATGTGCGCAGACGCAATTTCTGGCGCTGCTCGGCGAGTCCCCACGCCGCGCTGGTTTAGGGGGACCCGCCGAGTGGGCAGCTCAGTTCAGGGGTGGCTCATGGGCCGGTAAAACGGTCTTCATGGGCCGCACTCGGCCCATGGGCCACACGTTGCCGACCCCTGGTTTAGAACAACTTATCTAAGGATAAATGGCAATTCATATTTGCCTTAGCTGTGTACTTGGTGTTTATCTTCAGCTTCTTTGAACAGGGCCACATAAGCACTTCTGTCCACATGCATGTGTACTCAGAAGTAAGCCCCACTGAGTTCAAGTGTCTATAGGATTGCAGGCTAGGGTGGAGTCCAAACGACATTCGCTGGAAGGAGCAGGTCAGCAATGTTCGAGTCGAGCATGACTTTTTCTCAGGAAGGATAGCAGAAGCTGCCGCACATCTCTAGCCTGGGGCAGGGGGGCGGGATGTGGGGATTTTTGTTTTGTTTCTTGCAGATTGCTGGGTTTTTTAAACCATTGCAATTTTGTGCCAGATGTGGCTGGCAGCATGGGACGATGCATAACCTTCAGGGAGGGCACCGGGAAGGTTGCACAGAGCGGTTGGGGGGGGGAAGGTTGTACTGGAGAGATTGCTGGGGATAAACTAAGCTCATTCTGCCAGGTGACAGCCTATTCCCTTGGGTCTCTCTGTCTGGGCATGGTTTTGAATTAGGGGCAGGGGAGCGGGTTGCAAGGCGAGGACATTCTTCCAGGTTCGGCGCAGTTAGCACTCGGGGAACCGAGTCATTTGCCTGGTGTGAAGGTACCTGGCCCATCCCAAAGAATGCACCCACGCTGCGCCCTCCATTTTCCCTGCAAAATCCTTCCTAATCCCAGGCAACTAATGCCTTTTTGATCTGATTAGATGCTGTGCCTGTATGCTTTGTATCTGTTGCCGAGCACAGAATTACCTGGCAGGAGCCACTCGCTGCGCCTGCTTCCTCTAAGTGGAGCTTCAACAGCTTCCTGATGCCCCTGCCCTAGAAAACAGCAGGATGGGACCAGTCCTGTCCTTGCCAGGCCTCCCCCATACAGAATGTGCTCATTCCCAGGCCCCCAGAAATTCGTGCCTCCGCTGAGCTTGCTCCCCTCCCACCAAGGCCTTTGCCTAGCACCAACTTTTGTAATGACTCTTCTCCCTTTTCCTTGGCAGCCCCAAGAGGGAAGCGGGGGTGGAAGACTTTCCACGCGATCCTGAAGGGCATGATCCTGTATCTACAGAAGGTAACTAAAGCATGATTTACATTGGCTGGAATAAGGGAGCCAACCCAGTTTTCCCCATGGGTTTTGCATGTTTTGTTCTGCTCCCAATAACTCCGTTCATTAAACTGAAAATGTTGACTAGGAAAGCTGGGACTGAAGACGAGGAGTGTTGAGATTGGCTGGGCATGGAATTCATTTGGAGTCTCCTTTCCCCGCCAATTCCCTGCTCCCCCATCCGCCAAGTGGTTGATCTCAAGCCCCTGCCCTCATTTACGTACATGTGCAATTTCTGACATCTTCCCCAACTCTGCCCATAGCATGAGCTTTCCTACACGGCCAGAGAAATTATATTCTCTTGTCCTCAGGATGTTGTTTAGACCCTTTCTGAACTGAAAGTGAGACTGCATGGAAAGTCCAGCCATGTGTCACGCAGACCAGAGTCAATGTAGAAGATCATCTGCTGTGACAGTCTCTTCGCTTTGCTTTGCATCTGCCTTAGTGCTGTCGAGACGAGTGTCTCTTGCAGGGGGAAAGAGCTGCGCTTCTGCCTAACTGAAGCATACTGTCTTGACACCCTTCACTTCACCGGACTGCTTAGGTCCTGCAGGGGTGGCCGGGTCTGGAGGATTAAAAACCGGGACACTAAGCTTGCATGAAACATTCATATTCCTGCCGTGCAAAATTTATGTGGATACTGCATTCTCGCAGATTCTGCTCTGCAGCAGCTAAAGGTTGCAAAACACTTTGCAGGTTCTGTTATAGTTAGCCTCGCGATAGCCCTGTGTAGTAGGCCTCTCAAGTGTTACGGGTCTTAATCCAAACTGAAACGGCACCATTTCCCTTTTTAGAACTCTCAAGGCATCTTGCAACTCTTCTTGCTTTTGTTAACCCAGAAAAATTGAAGGGTGAATCATCCTTCCCAATTTAAGACGAGCCTGAGATAATTGTGATGATTGTGCACATTTTTTACAAAGGGACAGGCCTACATACATGTCAGCTTCCACACCAGAAGTCTGGCTGAACTGCAGCGGGAGAGAAATTCCCCACCCGGCAGGCAGTGTTGATGCAGCCAACGCAATGCACATTTTCCCAAAGGGTTGCAAACAAAGAACATGGGAAGAGCTTGCAGGATCAGGCTAGCGGCTCATCTGGTCCAGCATTGTGTTCTCACGGTGTCTGAACAGTTGCCTCTGGGGAAACCTGCAAGCAGGATTCGACCACAAGACCCCTCCCTCCTCCTGTAGTTTCAGAAGCATTGCTGCCTCAGACTGTGGAGGCAAAGCATAGCCGTTGTATCTAGCAGCCCTCAATAGCCCTCTCCTCTCCATGCATTTTGAGAGGGGACGCAGGTGGTGCTGTGGGTTAAACCACAGAGCCTAGGACTTGCCAATCGGAAGGTCGGCGGTTCGAATCCCTGTGACGGGGGTGAGCTCCCGTTGATCAGTCCCAGCTCCTGCCAACCTAGCAGTTCGAAAGCACGTCAAAAGTGCAAGGAGATAAGCGGGAAGGTAAACGGCGTTTCCGTGCGCTGCTCTGGTTCGCCAGAAGCGGCTTAGTCATGCTGGCCACATGACCCGGAAGCTGCACGCCGGCTCCCTCGGCCAGTAAAGCAAGATGAGCGCCACAACCCCAGAGTCGGTCACGACTGGACCTAATGGTCAGGGGTCCCTTTACCTTTACTCCATGCATTTATCCGATCCTCTCTTAAAGGCATCCAGGTTGGTGGCCATTGCTGTGGGAGCTGCCACTGGTCCTGCAAGCTAGGGATGATGGGAGCTGTAGTCCAAGGACAGATGGAGTCTCACGTTTGGGAAATCCTGGTCCTAGTGGAAGCTAAGCAGCAAGTAGCAACGACTACCTAGATTCAGTTTTAGGTAGCCACTAGCCTGTGTGATGGAAGCCTCAGGGAGATGACAAATAGTCGGGACGGATTCCGATTCAGTCTGCTGCAGAAGACATGTGGCATTGGAGCCAGTCAATGCCAGTGGGCAGAGGAAGGAACAGGAGGCGGTGAAGCCCATGGCTGGCATAGGGTGTTAGAAGAGATGCAACATGATTCAAATTTGGCAGGGAACATTGGGTGGAATGGGACGCTGGGTGAGATATGCCTTTGGCCTCATCTATCGGGACACTTCTTAGTCTCCTGTGAGGAAGGCCTTGCAAGAGCAGCCATTTTGGAGAAGCCGTATTTGTATCAAGGAATTATTTTCACTGCAAAACTCATATTGGAAGCTAACCAGGGACAGATGCCCCCACGCCCTTGTAATGAGCAGTCCTGTGAAATGCTGGCTATCTGTCAATACTTCCAGAGCTCCATTTGGGCAGCGAGGGACTACTCATTTATTCCTGAACGTTGTTAAGCAGAAACTCTTCCTGCTTTAGCTGTCTCCTTGAGTGCTGCTAGAAGCAAGGGCCAGCCAGCCAGGGTAGTTGTGGTCTGCACTGCGTGCCTTAATTGGAATGAACTGGACAGCTATAGCAAGACAACTGCATGACTTAGATTTTGCACAGGAATCCCCCTCCCCGAATGTGGATGTTTAATATGTTTGTGGCGGAGTATTTATGAATTTTGGTTAGGAGAATGGGCAGGGTGGATATCGCAGTACGTAATGGCAAGAGCAGGTCATAACCCAAGACCAATAATGAATGGGAAGAAAAATGCCACCCAGAGGCTTTCAGAGAGCTTCTCTGGTTTCCAAGCATTTTTACAAAAATGCCCACCTTCTGCCAATTATGACACATCTAAGTAAACATTAAGCTGATGCAAATTTTATATACGTATATATACACACAAAACTCAACTGAAACGTGTAATGGTATAACTGCTGTAGTCCAATGTCCTGCCTACCAGATCTGAGGTCCCCTTATTTGGGATTTTCTGGTGTGGCTGTGCACAAAGTCCCAATCTGCAGTCCTAGAAGCCTCTTGGTACATCACACTCAAACCTAAGATCAGACTCTTGAGATGCGAGGGAGAGGGAGAGCCCCATGCCCTTTTGGCTGGGGTCAGGAGGAGCAAATTCACCAGACCCACCCACTGTCTGCCTGCCTGCATTTCAGGAGGAGTACAAGCCTGGCAAGGCCCTGGCCGAGGAGGAACTGAAGAATGCCATCAGCATCCACCACTCCCTGGCCACCCAAGCATCGGACTACAACAAGAGGCCCAACGTCTTCTACCTCAGAACGGCTGACTGGAGAGTCTTCCTCTTCCAGGCCCAGTAAGTTGATCGTCTTGGGGCCCATGTTGAAAGCCCTGGGCATCCAGACAAGAGGGGAGGGAGAGCGAGAAAGGGAAATGGCTTGCTGGGAAGTTGTCGCTCCCACACTGCCCCCTTTTCTCAGATTCAGCTGCCTCTGTGAGTTTAACCAGAGCAGAACTTGCTTCAGATCTGCTCCAGTTGCCTCTGCTTAATTTTTTTCCTTCCTTAAGTGTCCCAGCCACTTACAATCCCCTTCTCAATTTGGTTGCGTTTCTCCAGAGTCGCAGAGTATGCTTTGGTTAGTTCAGCCCTGTCCTAGTCTGGCTCCAAATATAGGCCTGTCCCTTGTTAAGGCACATAAATACACACTTAACACACACACAAAACAACTTTTCATTTTTTAATACAAAACCTGGAACAAGCTGCTGTCCTAGTGCTAGGAAGGAAGGGGAACCTCATCTGTTGACTTTTGCATCTTCCTCTAGAAACACGGAGCAAATGAATTCCTGGATCACACGCATCAATGTGGTGGCAGCCATGTTCTCCGCACCCCCGTTCCCAGCTGCTATTGGGTCTCAGAAGAAATTTAGCCGCCCACTGCTGCCCAGCTCCACCACACGGCTGTCTCAGGTAAGCGGAGGACCAGGCATCTGCCACCGAGAGGAATTGGAGAAAGAAGATGTGGCAGGGTTGCAGGATCAAAGAGGCTTGTGGCCACCTTAAAGGCTAACAAAGGATGGAGCAGGAACTGCCATGTTTAGAAAGGAGCTTCCTTGAGGGGCAGGGATGTCATACACAGTCTACATATCTTTGTGGAGGGCGGGAGAGACTTCCAGAAGACAGTTTAGCTCAGTGGGGGGAAATAGGGGTGCTGCAGAAGCCCATGCCAGCAGCTTTTCAGCCTCTCTGAAAGGGGATTATAATCAAATTAAATTTAAAAGAGCTGCGGTGCAGGGGGATGGAGGGAAAGGATGGTGAGGCTGGACAGCTGAAGTCAAAGGAACTTCTTTCCTTCCTTTTCCCAGGAGGAGCAAGTAAAGAGTCATGAGGCCAAATTCAAAGCCATGGCAGCAGAGCTGCTTGAGCACCGCTCCTCCCTGCCAGAGAAGAAGGTCAAGGGCAAGGAGTACGAAGAGCTGAAGCAAAAGGAGGAGTACCTGATATTCGAGGTCAGTAAGGGAGCGGGCGGGTGCCAGGAATCTCCCCCCCCCAAGAATTTGCCACAGCCTGGTGGTGGAAGTTCTCGCAAGGGAAGCGCCACCTTTACAGCCAAACCGGTCCTATACTGGGGCAGCTTGCCATAGAGAGGTGACCCGGCACCAGGGGCAGTCGTGCTTTGCAAGCCCTTCCTGGATCAGACCAAAGCCCACCAGGAAACCCACAGTCAAGGCAGGAAAGAAATGTCCCAAGGCAGCTGATGTTGGCAGGCAGAGCTGGGTGGAAGCCCAACGTAGCGTTACGTGAACATTTCATCGACACAGGGGCTTCTGTTTGGGAAAGGAAACTTTCTCCCCTCCCTGCATCCCCGCTCCCCAGCCTTCTGGAGCAGATTTGGGGAGAGCATAGGGGGCAAAAGACCCATTGCACAAGCAGAAATCCTTGCACTGACATGATGGGTTATAGTTTAATCCTGCTCGCAATTCCTCTGTAGTTGGAGGTACATTCAGCAGCTGCTGAGACACCTGTAACCCATTGTTCGAAACAAGCCAGGCACATTTTGCTACTGGTGCAGGTTGAATGACGACTACATGGAGATTTCTGGGCCCGTGGCCAGTTTTAAAACCTCTGCCTTAGTCCATGCCATGTGTGTTCCTCCTCCTCGCATAACTGGGACAAGCAAATTGTTGTACGAGCAAGCTACAGTCAAGGAATGTAGTTGAGATCATAGAATCATATTGTTGGAAGGGACCCCAATACTTATCTATTCCAACCCCCTGGCGAATAGACATTCCGCTGTGGCAACTGCTTAAGGTGCCATATAGAGCTTAGCTTATATAGCTGAGTTTCTAACACTGCCATAGCCTGCCCTGTATCTGTCTAATATGTGTTTTGGCTGCAATCTCTCTCTCTGTTGACTACCCCATTGGATTTCTTAGGGTAATTTATGTCTTGTGTGTAACACACCCTTGATTCTCCCAAACCAGCAGTTTGTCCCTTTTTTGAGGTGCGTGCGTTTCAGGATTGTGAATTTTTATCTCTCCCCAATTTTTTTCTAAACCTTCACATAGTAGTCTTTCTCCCATGTAAACTTACTAGCCCCAAATGTTTAGGCCTTTCTTGTAGGAAAGATGCTCAGACTCCTTTGATCTGTGCCTTCCCCTGCTCTACAATATCCTTTTTGAAATGGGGGTGGGTGCGTGGGATAAGAACCACACACAGTACCGTATTTTTCGTTCTATAGGACGCACTTTTTTCCCTCCAAAAATTAAGGGGAAATGTGTGTGCGTCCTATAGAGCGAATGCAGGCTGCGCCGCTAAGCCCAAAGCCAGAACAGGGAGACGGAGCACTGCGGAGCGCTCCGTCTCGCTGTTCTAGCTTGGGGACGGCTGCGCGCACAGGTTCTCCAGGGCAGTGGGGTGCCTTCACCCTGCTGTCCTGCAGAAGCTGCAAGGCTGTTCCCAAGCCAGAACAGTGAGGCGGAGGGCTCCGTCTCGCTGTTCCAGCTTGGGGATGGCTGTGTGCACAGCCTCTCCAGGGCAGCGGGCGCTGCGCTCCAAAGGCTTCAGGGATCTTTGAGGCTGGCGGTGGGGGAAAGCAGCGCTTCCCCCCACCACCAGCCCCACAAGCCTGGGTGAATGTACCTTGAACGCACCTTGTTTTAGAGGGGGAGAACAAGAAAAAAAAAATTTCCCTGTTCTCCTCCTCGTGTGGTCCGGTGCGTCCTATGGAGCGAAAAATACGGTATTTCAAAGGATGGGCAGGGTTCAAATCCTCAGTCACTGCCTCTCATGGTTATTGTTGAGGGCAGAGAGCCATGCAAGCCAGCTTCTCCCCCCTGGAGCAGAAGTGGGGTCTGAATAAACAGGATAAATAAGGGGTGTGATGTGCAAAGGGGGTCCCCCCCAAACCAGCTGCCTCTCACGTCTCTCTTCCCTGCAGAAAACGCGCTATGGGATCTATGCTACCCTGATGCGGGCCAAGCTGAAGACAGGCTCTGAGGACCTCACGGTGCTAGAGGCCGCCCTGTTTGAAACAGCAGCCGGCGCAGAGAACAATGTCAAAAAGTCGCAGTCCATCCCTTCCCTGAGCCAGGAGCCGGTCGGCGGGGGACCCAGGATCAAGCGCAGTAGCCGACAAGCTGCCAGCGGTCTGCAGAAGTCCTAGAAGGGTCAGGGGCCTGCCAGGAGGGTGCCGTGCCCGTTCTACAAACCTGCATGATTTCGTTCTCGGTGGCCGGGAGCCGCACCACAGAAGGCCCGAGGCCTCTTCTTCGCTGTGGGACAGAGCCTGTTATCCAGGAGGAGGGGCGACCACAGTTCCAGCGTGCGCAGCCTTCCTGGTCTCGTGCGTGAGTGAAGCGACCAAAAACCCTCGTGCGACAAAAACCACAGGGCTGTTTTCCAAACCACACACAGCGGCAAGAACCTTCCTTTCTCCCCACCCCCTGCGCCACCCCCCCCATTTCTTGCAAAAGTGAGAAGGGGTGGAAAGGGCTGAATCCTGGCTGCCTCCACCCCCACCCCCCCACTTTTCCTTGCCCGTTTCTTACCGTTTTTGTGATAATATTTTACATTTTTTTAGTACCCGGCAACACTGAATCACACTGGCGACAGATAAAAAAAAGACACTTGCTTCGTTTAAGCAGGGACCGTTTGGCCCAGAGCTCGGGGTGGGGCAAGCACCCCGATCCCTCCTGCAGACATGACGCTTGCACTGGCTGCCTACAGGAGCACAAGCAACTCCTGCACGGATGCCCAATTCATTCTTCACCACCAGCAGCTGTCCACCAGCACAAGCTGGGCCTCGAGTCACCCTGATACTTGTTCGGGGCTTGGGGGGGTTGCCCTTTGGCTTCAAGGGACCAGCACTTAACAGGGTAACCAGGGACAACGGATGCCTCCCGGGTGGCAGCCTGACAAAGCCATAGTAGGGGTGGGGGACCCCCCCCCCAAGAGCACACCCCCTCTAATCCCTCCTCCTCCCCCCTATGGAGATCACTGTGGATGATGAGCATGCTGGCCTCTTTTTCGGCCTAGTTGATGTGGGGCTTAAACAATGCAGGGGCCAGAACTGAGTGGCCCGTAGTCCTAGCCAGAATACATATAGATTAATCTCACAAGGGTGGGTGGAGGGTTCTGAAATTGCCAGGAGCATTTCCACCCCCTCAACCAGTGTTTCCTCAAACTTGGGTCCCCGCCGCCTGTTGCTGGAGATGATGGGAGTTGTATTCCAGCAACAGCCAGGGACCCAAGTTTAAGAAAACACGGCAACCCCCCTGGCTGCACACAGCCGGCCTGCTCCTTCTCACTTGTCACTTCAAAGGGCTTTAAGGCTGTGGCTCCAATACTTGCTTAAAACAGCAGGAGATGGGTTAAAGAAAGCCCCAGGTGACAGTCGGGCGGGGGGGGGCAGGAATGGGACAAAAGCAAATGGGAAATTCTGCAGATGTAAAGAAGGGCAAAGTGGGGGGGGGAGAGAGCAGGGGACTGGCTGGCTGTTTCCAACACTGACTCTCTGAATGTGTCAATTTTTTATTCTGCTCTTGAATTGACTGTAAAAAAACAAACCTAAAAGAGCTCTGTACAGTTTCTTCCTTTAATTACCTAAGTAAAACTTATTCAAGCACCTTCATTGACCTGGTTCTCCCTGAGCCAAAAGCATCTTAACACCGCTGTCCTAAACCAACTACAACAGCTGCTCTTACCCAACTGAAAAAAAAGATAGCCGGAGGGGGCCACTGCCATGGCAGAAGGGCGGCCATTTTGTTTCTCAACACACTTGGGTTAGATAAGGAGCAGGAAGCTGCCTGACCCTTGTGGAAAGTAGGGACCCCACAGCTCTCGTTGGGATGCCCAACTGCCACCATCCCTGACCATTTGGCCATACTGCCTACCATGGCTGAGAGGAGCAAAGGTCAAGCAGCTACTGGGTAACTAGTTACCTGGAGCAAGGCCATCGCCACAGGGAACAAGGCATACCACTATCCAGACACGTGAAATACTGTAGGGGCTGGAGAAAGCAAAACAGAAGAAGTAAAGACGCATGGTTGCTATGCATACGCATACAAACAAAATGGACGTACCTGGGGGGGGGGGGTCTGAAGAAAGACACCATGAAGGGCTGAGCTGGAGGGGCGAAAGGATCAGTTGTAGCATGTGACAACAACAGTAGGGTTAAGGAAGAAAACTGTCAAAACCAGGCAGCTTTCGGGTGGAAGAGAATTCTACCAAGCTAATACCAGCACAGTGAAATACGGTTTGGGGCCCAAGAGCCCTCCCAGCTAATTTGGGGCAGTTCTCTCTGCTGCCATTCTCCAAGAAACACAGCCCAAAAGGAGCTGCAGAGGGGTGGGAGGGAAATGGCTTTGCCAGCCGCCTTCCACCTTGTGCAACTCCCTGCATGCTACACCCATAGTTTCTGAGGGTTAGAGACTGGAGAATGAAAAGAATCAGACAGGAACTAGAGCAAAGCACACATGTCTATACAGAGTTCAAAATAAAGCAGCAAGCAAAAATGGAGGTGTGTCTGGAACAGCAGGATAAAAGGAGAAGCTGAAGACTAGAGCAACAGCAGTAAGAGAACACAATGAAGGAAGTGAAGACAGTGAAGAGAACACAAGCATTTTTGCAGGTTACAGCAAGTTCTGAAAACTTGGGAGGAGGGGTAACAGAATGGCAGTTCCAATTTTTACTCTACTCTGGTGATTCGTAAAACCAGTTCAAAAGGCTTATTGTATTCTGCATGGAATACAGGGCAATGTGGAAGAGGAGAGGTACTTGGAAAGGGTCAGATCATTCAACTAGCCCTTTTCTGGTAGTGAATCTTTCCTAACATTAATAGGCAAGGCTGGCAGAAAAGTGACACACATATAAACCACTCTACTTTGGAAGAAAGGATGGCTGCATCATCCCTGCAAGAGAGAACTCTGCTGTTGGTTGCCAGAAGCCACAGCAACACAGATTCTTACTGCCTAACAGCCACTTGTCTGTCACTTGCAGGGGTCCTGACTAAGCTCTCCTCCTCAAGAACCATCTGCAGCCTAGACAAAACCTTGGAGCAGAAACTCTGGTCAAGAGGGAAATAAAGCTCAACCACAAACCTGGGTTCAAACAGCACACTAAAACCTTGGCTAAACTGCCATGTTGCACTAAGCTAAAGTGGACCGGGGAGGCAAACAGCTCCACTCTCCTCCTCTGAAACCAGCATGCTCACAATGGTTTGACTTAGTCTTCCATATAAACACAGCCTGTGATAAGCTAACAGAACATTTTCTTAACAGCCTAAAACAGCATTCACTAACCTTATGCTCTCTAGATTCTTTTGGACCACACTGGGGTTGATCGGAGAGGTAGTCCAAAACATCTGGAGGACACCTGGAAGGCAAAGGGTCTAGAAAAATGCATTAATCAGCATAGAATCGTAAAGTTGGAAGGGACCCAAGGGTCATCTAGTCCAACCCTCTGCAAATGCAAGAGTCTCAGCTAAAGCATCAATGATGAATGTACTTTTGATGCAGACATAATCACCCTGGGATTTTTATTTTAAAAAATTATCCGCAAAGCACAAGTCTATTCTCTATGACAGAAGTCTTTTGAAAACTACAAAGACTTAGAAATTGGAGTGCGGTTGTGGCAGAACTTGTCAGTCATCCACTCGATACTTTTGTCCTCTGATGCGCCGGTTTCCTTCTTCTATCCAAAGGGCTAAGTTCTCCTGAAAAGGCCTCTTCGCTGTGTACCAAGTAGCAGATACATGCAAATTTGCATCATTTATTCCCTTCACAGAACTGGGGGGTTTTCTGAGCCAAGGTTGGGATTTTCAGCTCAGAAGACCCCCCCTCCCCCGCAACAAACCAGCATGGATTCCTAACTGCAAATCTTTACATCAAAGTTTTAGCTACTCAACATTGCAAGAGCTCTCCCCGCTCACACACCTCCGACTAGGAAGCACAACTGTCAGCAGCTACCAACGGCCAGAACATCCTTCTTGCTTCACTTGTCGAAACTGCTTACTGACATTGAATGGCATTCTTTGTCACTTGAAAACAATGTGCAGATTGGACACCTGCTGATAGGCAATTGTTAAAATCGCATGCTAGCAAATTTTCCAAGATGAGCCATTATGTAAGGGTTTGCTCAAATCCAAATTAGATCGTAGGACTAAGCAACAAATTTGTTCACAAGGTTCTGAAAGGGCTGTTACCCTGCTTCACATGACACGAGGGTTGTGCCAAACGTAGGGTTTCTTTCGTCTGAACGCATTTTGGGGGTTCTGCCCCAAATTACCAAGCCACAGGTGAAAATTCAGCTCTGTAGAGCCATTAATTCCCAAGGAGAAGACAGGCACCTGAATCACTAGGACTATAAAAAGGCACTAAAAGGGGACCAATTTGTGGGGCAGTCCAGGAGCTCAGGAGTAAACAGCATCCATTGTCCAACGAAACCTAACCCATCACAGGTGACGTGGCTGATGCCGGGGAGCAAGGTTGTCTCGGGAAGAGCAGAAGACCCAAAGTCCTGATCAGGCTTGGAATCAGAATTTGATAAAAGGCACCAGGACAAAACAACTGCTTATCCCTATCTCCCACATTTGGTGAAGGTCTGCAACAGTCCTTCCTACATTGTGCAGACCAGCTGTGAAAATCAGAGCTGCGCTGAGCTCTGCACGGCCTTCCCAGCTCCTGATGCCTGAGTCCTGGGTGCGAGAGGAATGTCCGAAATCACCCTTCCCCCAGCGAGGTTCCGGCTTCTCTCATATCAGTGCACTTGCTCCTGCTGGCTGTGAGGCAAGAAAGGTGGCACTTCCAGCGAGGAGGCTGGTGGAAGCTTCCCAGGCAGGGCTGCTGGCTCCTCTTCCACGGACTGGCTCCCATAGGCACTATCTTCCTTCAGCTCTGAGAGAAGCAGACAGAGATAGCCGTCAGCAAGTTATCCGGTGCAGTCTTCCTGCCCCTGCAACCCCAGCTCTAACGTTCCATATCTGTACCTGTACTCTGTAGCTTGACGAACGTCTCTGGTCTCTGCAGTAGCTTCACTCCCTCCGTCAGTCCCATGGAGTCAAGTGCTTCTAGCAGACCCTTGAGGCTGCCGCCAGCAAGCTGGGGGGGAAGAGAGAGAAACATAGAGGGTTCAGAGGGGACCTGCTAGGAATCGGTGACAGAGGAGAGGGGGAGGGCAAGGGACAGAGGAGGATCTACTAGCCTCGTAGCTCAGAAGAAGTCTTCTGCTGGGCGACTCTGCCCCTCTGTAGGTCTCCACCAGGCTGCAGAGGCCCAGTCTCTTGGCTAGCTCTGCCCAGTCTGCCCCTTGGCAGTCATGGTTCAGAAGCTGCTCTAGACTCTGGAGGGTGTCGCTATTCAGAGACAGGACGCTTCCTGGAGGAGAGAAATCAGAGACAGAGGATGACAGGCTATCGCTTCTCTGCACAAAGGTGCCCGTCTCTGCCCTGAAAGCCATTGTCTCCACCCCACACCCGACCAGGAAAGCAGCACCTATGGCCCCCGCTAAAGAAGAAAGGATAAGTAAAGTAATGAAATAGGTTGAATCAGCAAAGCTAACAGCTAAAATAAGAGAACTTAGTGACAATGGTTTTTCTTGAAGAATGAAAGCCCTTTTCAGATTATTTGAAGAAAGACTACAACAGGACGAATCCGCGAGCAGGTTTTGAACTGTGAGCAACAGAACAATTAAGGATTATTGTGTTACGACTATGTTAAATAAGAGGGGAGGACAGGGTTCAGCAATTGGGGGGGGTAAGAAAAACATCACGGAAAATGGGATGGGAAGTCAGTAACATAAAAGAAAAGATGTTTTCATATGTATTGGAATTTTATGTGTATGGATGGCCAAAGCCCCCTATGCACAGGGGTTATTTCTCAGCGGGACCCCAAGCAGAACAGAAGCGTTCACTCACCTTGCCTGGAAGCAGGAGTCTCGGCAGACTGCTCCCTTTCTGGGTTCTGCAGCAATGCTTGCTGCAATATCTCCCGCACCTGGAAGGAAAGAAGCCTTGGTTACCTCTAACTGTCCCCTAAGCAGGTTACATCAGGAGAGATAAAAAAAGAGTTTCTTCTACTAAGTGCATGGGGATGGGGTCCTTCCCATCACAAAACATGGGGACAAAGGGGTACACAGAGAGCTACAAATAGCTATGATCAGAGGTGGACGATGATCCAAACTGCCTTAGTTGCAGGACGCTCTATAGTCCAGAGGTGGACAATGTAGCTCACAACACCTGGGAGGGCAACACAACAACCTTCACCCAACAGCCAGGAATGATGGGAGCTGCAGTCCAGAAGAGGCTGGTCCAGAACAGGGTTTCCCAAACTTGGGTCCCCAGCTGCTGTTGGACTACAACTCCCATCATCCCTGGCCACTGGTACTGCTAGCTGGGGATGATGCGAGTTGTAGTCCAACAACAGCTGGAAGAAGAAGAGGAGTTTGGATTTGATATCCCGCTTTATCACTACTCTAAGGAGTCTCAAAGCAGCTAACAATCTCCTTTCCCTTCCTCCCCCACAACAAACACTCTGTGAGATGAGTGAGGCTGAGAGACTTCAGAGAAGAGTGACTGGCCCAAGGTCACCCAGCAGCTGCATGTGAAGGAGCGGAGACGCGAACCTGATTCCCCAG